AAAAAAAAAAGAATCTAAGAATATTGAAAAGATATCAACGAGAACAGATGTAATAAAGACAAAAGCAAAACAAAACAAAAAAAAAGGCGAATTGGTGCTAGGCAAAGTATTTTCCTTCTTGTTTTTTATTTACAATTTTATATTCATACCACAGAGGGCAGTTGATCACCGGGCAGCCGTAACATTAGACAGCAACATTTTTTTCTCCAAACCAACCAACACAAATACACATATAATTTATATGTATACCATTAGCGATAACCAACATCTACCCCAGCACTGTGTATCATCTTCCATCATTCGTATAACAAATATCCTATTTATTAGGCTTCTGTTTTTCACTTCAGTTTTTTTCCCCCCTCCTGTTCTTGTTTCTCTTCAGCTAATCTATATACTGCAGCATTTTTTAAAACAGTTGGAACTTTCAAACGTAACCGTGTAACAGAACAGAACAAGAATATATTTCATACTTTATCGAGTCTATAGATGATAAGAGTAACACTGACAGAAATTGAAAAAAAAAGAGATCCAATTTTATTTGATCACCAATTTTTTGCTCACTGTTATTAACTGTAAAAAACCTTTTTTTTCCCTAATAATTGCAACACACTTTAAGCAGTTTGTTGTATGTAAAATAGCACTTTGGTGTGAAATAAGAAAAAAAAAATGGTAAGAAGAGTACCGGCTAGTTTTTCTGTTATATTTTTTACAAAATCAGACATATGCACAGATCAAAAGAAAAGTTCCAGTAAACAATGAAAAAGCAACTTTACTATTAAAGTTGTAAAATAACTCTTTTTTTTGAGAAATCTTTGTACAAGACTGAAAAAAAAACGAATACAGAATCGCTTGCATAAATATACCCTGCCTTTAGAATCTGGAGATGTATAGTTGAATAAACCAGTGAATATTTAGACAATAAAAGAATTTTTTCTCAATGAAAAAATAGACTAAATATTGCCACTTAATTAACAGTTTTTAACGTTGAAATAACAACAAATAAAGGTAATTTGTTGATAAACTAAAACTAATTTTACCTTGATGTATGTCTATTTTTAAGATGACAGCAAACAGTAAGAATAACAGCAGATAAAGCTGGATAATAAAATGTTTCTTATCAAGAATAATATTCTGCAATCTGTAAAATTGTTGTTCTTCAGCAATTCAACAAAAGTTCAACAATCAATCTCGAAAATATTTCTTAAGACCAAGGAAACTGCAAGCAGCAATATCTGATTAAATTTTTTGACATACTGTCTGCAGTGCGCCACTGATCAACAGTAGAATAAAAGTCTGAATAAAGTGATTGGTGTCACGTGAACACAGACTTAGCTAAAATTATTCTGCTGAATTCTTTGTAGATTAACACTAAAACAGTTATCCATTTGGAGAAACCCAAAAATTTGTTGCTTATTTACACTTGTAACTACAATTTTGCTCATTTTTTGCATTACCTATCACTACGAGAAATGACGATAATTGAAGAGAAAAAGTTGATGGTATTCACTTGTTTCAGTTAAACAGTAATTTTTTTTTAAAAATTTGGGG